TTAAATTTTGATGAAGTCTAATTTATAATTTTTTTAAGGATTATGCTATTGCTGTCAGATCTAAGAACTCTTTACTTAATCCAAGGACACAAAGGTTTTCTTCTTTTTCTCTAAATGTTTACAGTTTTAACTCTTACATTTAGACTATTATCCATTTTGAATTATTTGCTTATGTATGAAGGGTCTAAGTCCATCTTTTTACATGTAGCTATCCAAATGACCTAGCACCATTTGTAGAAAAGACAATCCTTCCCTCACTGTGGCCTAAACAGCTTTGTAAAAAGTAAAAAATCAATTTACCATAAATGTAAAGATTTATTTCTGGACTCTCAGCTCTGTTCCACTGATCAATATGTCTATACTATGTCAGTACCACACTCTCTTAACTACTATAGCTTTATAGTACATTTTAAAATTGGAAGGTATAAGCCCTCCAATTTTGTCTTCCAAGATTGTTTTTACTATGCTGGGAACCAGGATTACGTTTCTGGACCAACTCCCACTTGTTCATGGTGTATAATTATTTTTATGTATTAAAATATTTGGTAATATTCTGTTAAGGATTTTTGCATCTAAGTTCAGGAGGGGTGTTTGTTCATAGTTTTCTTTTTTTGTAATGACTTTTGCAATGGCTTTGCACTGTCCTCCATAAATGAACGGGGAGTATTTCCTCCTCTTCTGGAAGGGATTGTGTAAAGTTAGTGTTAATTATACCTCTAAAGTTGTGCTACAGTTCTCCAGTGAGACTATCTGGGTCTGGAGATTTCATTTCAGAGAGCTTTTAATTAAAAATCCAATTTCCTGAGGTGGCAGCGCTTGTGGTGACTGAGCGGAGCCCAGGGACAGGATGTTGGTGTTGGTATTAGGAGACCCGCATATCCCATATTAGTTTGCCAGCTAAAAAAACTCCTGATGCTAGGAAAGATTCAGCACATTCTCTGTACTGGAAACCTTTGCACCAAAGACAGTTATGACTATCTCAAGACTCTGGCCTGTGATATTCATATTGTAAGAGGAGACTTTGACGAGAATCTGAATTATCTAGAACAAAAAGTTGTAACTGTTGGGCAGTTCAAAATCGGTTTGATCCATGGGCATCAAGTTATTCCATCTTGATTTATTTATAACACTTTTTTTTTTAGAAACTTTATTTTTTATTGTTATGTTTAGTTAGGCAACATATAGTACATCATTAGTTTTTGATGTAGTGTTCAACAATTCATTAGTTGCGTATAAAACCCAGTGCTCATCACAACACATGCCCTCCTTAATACCCGTCACCCAGTTACCCCATTCCCCCACCCCCTTCCCTTCTGTAACCCTCAGTTTGTTTCCTGGAGTCCAGAGTCTCTCATGGTTTGTCTCCCTCTCTAACTTCTTCCCATTCAGTTTTCCCTCCTTTCCCCTATGGTCCTCCGCGCTATTCCTTATATTCCACATATGATTGAAACCATATGATAATTGTCTTTCTCTGCTTATTTCACTTAGCATAATCCCCTCCAGTTCCATCCATGTTGATGCAGATGGTAGGTATTCATCCTTTCTGATGGCTAATACTTTTGAGTTTGTCTCTCTGTATAATTTTTGTAGTGGTTGCTGTGGGAGCTACTTATAATGATGTACTGGTATTTACATTTATCACTTTAGATGAAGTATAGAAACTTCACTTCCATTTGGGTCTCTTTACCTTTCCCACCTTTAAATATTATTGTTTTAGTATTAGTATTATAATTTTTGTTTCAATAGTCAATATGATTTATAAAACTCATAAGGAAATGAACTGTCTATTGTATGGACTCATATTTCCGTTCTTTCTATTGTTTCTTCTTGAGTCCTAATGCTGTAAGTTTCCTTTTGTCATTTCCTTTGTTTGAAGAACTTCAGTCTTTTCAGGATAGGTCTGCTAGTCACAGAATCTCAACTTTCACTCATCTTTGAATGTTTTTATTTTCCCTTCATTCCTAAAAAATAGCTTTTCCAGGTAATTATGGTTAAGAGTTATTTTCTTTCAGCACTTAAAAAACATTTTGTCATTTCCTTCTTCATGGTTTTACATAAGAAATCCACTTAAATTAGTGTTTCCTTGCAGAGAATGCCTTGTTATCTCTGGCTGCTTTCAGGAGTTTTTGTCCTTTTTTAAAAGTTTAATTATGATGTATCTTGGCATGGATCCTTTAGGTTTATCCTGTTTGGGTTCATTCAACTTTTAGGTTCATTCAATCTCTAGGTTTGTGTCTTTCATCAAATACAGGCGGTTCCCAGCCATTATTTCTTCAAATACTCATTCATACCCACTTTTCTCCTCTACTTTCTGGGACTCCAATAATATTAGATATTTTGTTATAGTCTCACAGGTCCCTGAGACTCTGTTCATTTTTTCCAGTTTATTTTCTATTGTTCGAGTTGAGTGAATTCTATTGTTCTGTCCTCATGTTCACTGATTCTATCCTCCCATTTCCACTCTACTGTTGAGCCCATCTAGTGAGTTTTTAATTTGTTGTATTTTTCAGTTTTATAATTTCCTTTCCTTTTTTGCATAACTTCTATTTCTTTTTTGAGATTTTCTATTTTTTAAGAGAATTTGTAATTGTTGTAGTATTTTTATAATGTCTGTCTTCAAATTCTTATCAGACAATTCCAACATCTGATTCATATCAGGTTGGCATCAGGTGATTTCATTTTTCATTCAAGTTGTGATTTTCTTGGTTCTTGGTTTGTATCCTGGTCATTTTGTCTATTATGTTAGGATACTTTGGGTCCTATTTTAATATTTTATTTTACAGGAAGTTACTCTGTTAGGTTCAACATACAAGTTTTAGCCTACTTTTGCAGGCCATGATTCCAATGGTAGTTTAATTTTCAGAACGTTTGTGATGTTATGCTGGTCTGCTTGGTGTATTTGGTGCTGGTGGGGCTCACTCTGGTCTCTGTCGGTGCTGCCTGAGGGGTTAGAAGGGATTTCCTCTGACTGGGTTGCCAGATATCACTTGGTGAGGGAGGGGTGTGTAGAAATCTTTCTCTTGGTGTTCCCCTGCTACCCTAGTTAACCTGGGCCAGGGAGGAGAGCATAGTTTCATGGAGACAAAGTGGCTTCCAGGCCCAGGCTGCTAGCTGTGACAGGTCCTTTTTCCTGGTTCCATAGTCAGACCTACTATCTCTGGGCTGGGGAGGAGAGTCTCTCGCCCTTGGGAACAAAGAGCTTTCTCAGCTGGGTTACTTGCTTTACCTGAGTCTCTCTTACTGGTTCTTCTTACTCACCACAGTATCTCTCCATGGAAGAGTCTCTGGCCCAGCAGGAAAGGAACGTACTTCCCCCGGTCACTTATTTTTGGCAGGGCTCCTAGACGGTCCCCAATGCCTGAGGTGGTCAGAGGGACTCCCACTAAATCCAGGGGGAAGAATGAGCTATTACCTTCTCTTGCTAGGTGGGAAGTTGGAAAATGTCAGCTCTGGGTGGCTTTTTTTTGGTTGGGGGATTCAAGACACCCTGCCTCTGTGTTATTCCTCATGCCCTGAGGCCCCAAACCACCTTGCCTTCTTCTTAGCATTCTTTAGAGTTCTCCTTTGCCTGTTTCTTGTGCCATTTCCAGGGTTTATAAAGTTATGCTTAGTGGGAAGGAGCAAGGAAAAGGTCTCTGCCATCTTGTCCAGACCAGAAGACCCTCACTACTCAGTTTTATATCTTATCTGTTAAAATGTTTTATTTTTGTTTCTGTTTTGCTATTTTAGACCCAGTTACATTACAGACATCAAAAATCTGAAAGAAATCTTTGCCTGATGCACACATTTAACCTATTTTCTCCAGATGTAGTTAATGAGGCTGGGGGAAAAAAATGAATGTGTCAACACAACAGGATCTAAATTGAGCTTAAGGCCATATACATAAAGATACTGTTGAGGAACACACACAAACCCCTCCTTTCAGACCATCTCCTAACAATCTGCTCAAGAACCATCTCTACATCAAGCAGAAATGGATTCATGAAACCATCAAAGGGACTGGGGAAAATGGCAGGGAGTGGTAGAGCTTACTGTAGAGAGGGCATAGCCCTCTCCTCCTGGTGTTCTCTGAGTGGCCAAACCTACCTGGATGCTTCTGCTTGGGAAATCTCAACTCTACAAGGCTGAGTGGTGCCAGGAAAAAGGTGACTCCAAACTATCCAAGTTAGCCTGGCTCTTCTCTGAGCTTTAGTAGAGAAGAAAACTCAGTTCAGTCAAGTGCACCAAAGTAAATATTTATTTGGGACAAAATCCTTAAGCCAGTACATTTCCTTTCTAATTTATTTACATACTGTGTTGTTCTCAAGAAGCATTTAAAGTGATTTTAATGGATACATAATATATAAGGATATATAAATTAGATGTAGGCAAAAAAAAAAAAAAAAGAGCAAGAAGAAAACAAGGGACAGGCATAAGTTTGGTGCAAAACTGCTTCTTAGTGATTTTCTACACTTGCATAAATAACCTATGAGAGAGTACATTGCTGGACTATTTCCTGTGCCGTCTCTGACTTGACCCTCAGGAGCACTCAGGACTGGGAATGGGTGCAGCAAGGTGGACTCCTAAAATGGAGATATGCTATAGAGATAGAGACAAGTTCCCATGGAAGTTTCCACATTCAATAAATTTCCTGCACCTGAAACATGTTTGATTTCTTCTTAAAGATTCCTGAGTTCTCACTTTGAGAATGGCCATAGTTCTGAGCTCTGTCACCTAGTTGAAGACTCAGGCTACTAAGTTCCTGAGAGGTCACATACCAGTTAGGGTCCATTACAAGTCAGATACTCTAAATGTATAGTGTGTGAGCCAAGGCTAACACGACAGTCATTAAGTCCTCCAACTCTTGTTTTTAATATTTTTCTATTTTGTTCTCAGAATCTAAGCCAAAACTGTAAGATAGGGACTTGCAGTGTCCCTCCCAAGTCAGCTGGAAATCTGGGAGATGCTGATGATGCAAGGGAGCTGAGAAGTAGCCAAAGAAGTAGTGCTGTACCCGGTGGCTAAATGACCACACTCCTTCCACTATGGGAGCTGCCTCTCTCCTGGGGGATAGAACACAAAAGAATCCAGTCAGCTGGGATCTATTGTCTATGCATACAACATACAAGGTGCACTTGATTTGGATGCAAATCCTAGGTGAGTGGTGGATGCTGGGGCAGCATAACTGAATCTAAAAAATACTTCTTGACTCCTCATGAAGCCAGTCCCTTCCCCAGGCTTAGGCTTCTCTTCTTTCATAGAGAGCCTCCCTCAAATACCTTTAATGTTTGAAAATTTCTTACAGTCTCATTCACTTTGCCACCTGCTGATTTTAACACCTTCGAGTCTCCCTTAGACTGAAAAAAAGTGCCCTGTCCATTCATCAGCCCATCTCCCTACCATTTGTTCATGAAGACATGGCCCAGTTCTTCTTTTCCTATTCATAGTCTCCTGAACCATTCCTTCTCAGCCCTTTTCTAAAAAGTTGAGCTTCATACCTTAGTATTTCTCTAAGTTATTTTTCAAAGATCATTATCTCTTTCTGACCAAACTCAGTGCCTTTTCTTCAGAAGTTAGTACACTTGATCTTTTGGCTTTTTCAACTTATTCTGTCAGGACAAGGACTGTCTATATTTCTCATATTTCTCTAACTTTGTATTGTAGGGGATCATTTCTATCTAAGTTTTGAATATCTATAGTTGTAGTCCATGAATGTGACCTTTCTTATCCTATTTGAAATGCTGAAACAAGGTATCTGTCCCAAACATACTGTTAAATGCATTGTATATGTATATACATTCATGTTACTATAAAAAAAAATGTGTTTATCAGGAAAGTGAGTTTTAGGGGGCATGGCTTCTAATCAAAATGCTATGGGATGAATATTCTCTGATACAAAGGAAGGGAATGAAAGGGGACAAAAGGAACTTATGCAGGGCTTGAAGAAAAACCTAGATATGATCAAGGAATAGGCATTGTATTAAAAGTAGAAGATTAAGTATACTGAGCAAAAAAAAATTTTTTTTTGTATTAAATCAAGTCAGGAAAAATGAAAAAAAAATCTTGGATTCTCTACCAAAAGTTTGAGTTTAACTTGGAGAAGAAGGAATGCAGTAGTTTTCTCTTGTATTAGAACAGGTGGGTATAGGCCAAGTTTGCAACAAACCAGAAATGTCTTGCGAAGCCCTTTCTCGTAGGGCAAGATTGGAAAGAAAGATAATCCATTTGAAGGAGGCCAGGAACACAGGGGCAACCCAGTCTGAAACTACAGGAGTTTAAAACTTGACATTACAGTTTCTTTTATTTCTGAGGTTGTAGCCTTTGATGGAGTGAAAAAAACACCAGACCTAAGGTCAGATCTCTGCTGGAATCCTGATTCTGTAGTCAAATGGGAGATTCCTCAACATAAGTCCCATTTTCTCGTGGGCACTCTGCAGAGAACAGTTCCTACCTATTTTGGATGGAAGCCCTTGTTCCTCGGTAACTATTTGTTAAACATTATTCTTCAGAGACAAGGTTCCATGTAAGCCAAAAGGTTTTTTGATAAATGTATACTGCTCTGAATATTTAATAAAGTATTTTTAATAAGTATTTCATAAAAAGTTATGGCAAAGCTGTAACTGCTGAAAGCTTGATTTAAGAAAATAGTGGTAACATTTATTAACTCCAGGAGCAAACAGAAACCTTGTTATACATCATCAAAGATTGCCATCTAGTGGCCCAATTGTATTATAAGTTCTGAAGTTAACTTCAAGTTCTGAAAACTTCAGAGGTTAGGAAATTGTGTGGGAAGCATCCAGTCCCACCAAGGAGAGCAGCAAAAAGTAAGATTTTGGCCCTGGAGACTTTTGCTTCACTGAAGGCATTCAAAATTCAAACTATAAACAAAACACTGTGCCCTTCCAACCAACCAATCTAAAGCCAGCCATGGCTCTGGGTCTGTAGTCACTCAGAATATGAGTAGATAGTAATAAAGTGATAACTCTTTGGGAGATAAGCTTAGAGAAATCCGTATCAGTGAAGGCTTTCAAAATTATCTTGAGTGAAATCTTTGCGTCTCATGAGCAACTTTACAATAGAAAATTTGGTTTGCTTGTGGTAGAATTAGTGGTGTGTACATCTTAATGATAAAGGAAGCTGTGATACTTTCAGAAAATGAGGAAGAAATAAAGTTACCAGGAAGAAATATAGCAGGAAAACATCATTGCCCCAAATGATTCTTGTTTCTTTCAAATGAGGCAGCGTGAAGTTACTGAAAGGGTAAAGGCTTGAGAGTCAGAGGGCTATCCATGCTGAAATTCTGGCTTCACTGCCTATTGGCTTTGTGACTTCGAGAATGATACCCAATTTCACTGAGCCTCACCTGTTGTTGCAAAGATTAAATAAGTAAGGTTTGGAAAAGGCTTACCCCAATGTCTGGAACATAACTGGTGTTCCTTTTACCCTCTTCTCACTTAAAAGAAACCACATAATTTCACTTAAAGAGAAGAAAATGAAGAAAAACCTCAAAGAATATAGGATTTGGATTTGGGGCCAAAAACTGCCCTTCAAATAACATTCTTTTCTGTTAAAATGAAGGTAAGAGACAGTTTAGTCCCTCTCTGACTAAAGTAGCAGCAGTTGTCCTGGCTTTAACTGGTTCCAGGTGTTCTTTCAGGATGTAATTTTCCTACTGGTAACATAGAAGAAAGAGTTGTATCCACTATAAAATGAAGATAACAGCACAAACCTCATAGGTGGTGTGAGAGTTAAATGGGATATGGCATCAATGTCCATAGTTAGGTACCAGTTAGTAAGATACTACTAAGTTTCGTTGTTACTGGTTTTTGCCTCTCTCCTGGGACATTTATTGAGGATTGCCATTATTTTAGAACTGCCTGCAGGCCTTTGCTACCTTCCTCATGAATTACTCTCTCACCAAGGCTCTATTCTAGAAAGGCTAGCACTATAGTTCCCATAAGGTGCCTGTTTCTTTGCATACTCCATGCCTGTGATTGGTTTTTAAACCAATCACAGCAGAACTTGCATTTCCAAATATCCTTGGAAGTATATGGGAGACTAAAATTCTTCCTACAATATTCTCTCCTCTGGGAACTTCCCTCAGAGCCTACTACATATCCCTTTACCTCAAAGGAAGCAAAACAGAAAAGGACTTTGGTCAATAGAGAAATAGATTTTCATTTAAGTTGGCTCTGAAGGGAGTTCATGAATATTTTTGACTGATGGCAGCATAACTTTGCAAAGTGACATAAGGGAATACCATCGTTTCAGTATATCAATTATAAAATGGTTTTTTAAGTCACATCTTTAAAAAAAAATTTAAGGCCTAAAAGGCCTATAATCCCTCTTTGTGCCCCTTTTAGGCTAGTAAGCTATGACTGGCACCCATTAGCGCCCTGCCTGTTCCAGAACGCTGAAGTTTTGACTTGGGATATGAGGTTTTTTTGTTTTGTTTTGTTTTGTTTTAATCAGTTTAAGGATTCTTTCCGGGGGTCTCCCAGGACCTCATCCTCGAATACAAGGCCTTGCACACTGACTTGCAGCCCCCAAAAGTGGCACAAAAGTCCTCTGTCAGGCTGTACAGTCTAATTTAGGGTATGGAAATAGGGTTGCTAAGTAAAGGCAGGCAGCTATGACAGGAAGTAAAGCCTTAGCCACGAAACCTGCATTTAAGTCTTAGCTCCGCTACACACAGGCGCTGAATTATTCTGAGCCTCGTTCCTTCATCTGTGAAATGGGGGAACCCTGCCTCCCGAGACTGTGAGGGGTGTTGGTCTGGGGATGAGAAGGCCCTTTTTTAAGCGTCAAGCATCAAGCCTTCGTCCGCCCTCTGCACGCACTGGGCCCCTTCTAGCTCTGACAAGAGGTCTCACCACGCCTACCAGGCAAGCTCAAGGAGGAGATACCCTCATCGGTGGCCTGTGGGGTGGCCTGTGTCGGCTGGGGCCGAGCCCCGCTCTGCCCACACCCGACCCTCAGCAGGATGCCCCAGGCTCACCGAGCGCCTCTCCACACTCCCTTTCTTCCTGCCATTCTTGCCTGGCATGACATCCAGTGACCGGTAGCTGGGTGGCTTCTCCTCAGGCCAGTTTGAGGAGTATGAGCTGCGGCGGCGGTGGGTTCCCCAGCTCCGGGGCCGCCTCTCCTTCTCATCCTCCTCAGAGCTCCAGGAACTGAGGCCCGAAGGCAAGGGAGGGGAATAGCTGCGGTGCCTGCGCCGCGGGTGCCTCTGGGCATTCTCCCGGGGGCTGGGCCTGCGGGGTCGGTCTGGATAGCGGCTCCGGAGAGGTGCGTGGTCGGGCCGCCAGCGGGCCTCACTTGATGAGGGGCCGTCACTGAGGCTGTCCCTGTCTGACCAGGGCGCGGGTGACCCGTGCAGCCGGGAGCGGTGGTGCCTTCCCCTCTGAAGTCGGTTCAGCTCCCGTCCCTCCAATGCCCAGCGCTTAGGCTCCCGGTCCTGAAGCTCCTGGTGGAAATCAGAGTAGTGGGCCTGCCTTCTCCCCTCCCTCGGATCCCAGGGTCCAGGGGGAATTGCGGTGAGCCACTCCTGGCGGGAGGAGTTGCCGGTCCTCTGTGAGGACGGCAGGTCTCTGATCAGTGGGGGCAGGTGGATGATTCTGCGCTCCACAACCTCAGAGCCCAGGGAGGACAGCATGCTGCAGGCTTGGCCAGATATGGCTTTAAGGTCAGGGGGCAGAGGCTGGGCTGGATTGAGGTTCTGCAGCTCTTTCTCCAAATACTCTAAGACACCATTGGCGATGGGAGGGTGAGCGGCGGTCTGGGTCATTGGCATCTGTGGGAGGCTGGATCGCAGGGACAAATCTGAAAAGAAACAAGGATCAGAACATGCAGAACTGCTGGCCCAAAACATGCTCCTCAGAACCAGGGCACCAAAATACCACATTAATCAGCTTGCATCCATCCCGTCCCCATCCTCAATCACAGATACCCACTATATTGGCCATGAAGGCCCCAATATAGCCCTTGCGCCTACCCCTGCCCTCTGCCCTCTCCCATCCCAAATTTCTGGCAAGGTTTACCTCGCTGCAGCAGCGGGTTCATTGGATAAGATGAAACCTGAGAGCTCCTGTCCGCCCCCCAGTATAGGGGTTTTTCCATCATCTGAGGGCCTAAGGCCCGAGCCTGCTTCAGGTAGCGGTGGCGGGCCAGGGCTGCAGGGGAAAAAGGAGAAATGCAGACCCTCAGCCAGGACAAGCCCCACACCCTCCACTTCACTTCTCTCTGCCCAGTGGCCTTGCTAAGAGGCCAGTTTCTAACCTATCTTGCATAGGAGTCAGAGTTAAAGGAGCAGTAACCCATCAGTCATCTGGCAAGGAGCTGGGAATGTACGCCAGGAAAGGATACCTATAATACCTGACTTCCCAGTCTTGAAAACATTGCATCATCCTGCCATTCCCAGGTTCACCTAAGATGTAGGTAGATACATGGATATTAGTAGGCCATGAAATCTCAGGTCCCAGGCCAACAAGGTCTTCAGCCACAGGCCAAATATAGAAGATGCAGACGCAAAAGACTTCAAGGGGGCTGCCAGGGAAGCTCAGCGCTCCCTGCTCAGAGTAGAAAAAGGAAAACAAACAAAAAAGGATGTAGATGCTGAGGTCAATGGGCAGAACTACTGGTAAAGGGAAGGAGACGGAAGAACCTTCTAGCTGGTACACCAGCCCTTGCGGGGAGGAACTAGTGAGAGGGAGGCAGAAATGCAAAAAGCTGAAGTAGATCCCAGTGGATCCTTTCAACTCTTCTCCTTATCTCAATAAGTGTTGGGATTTTCCCTAAGTAGGGGGAATCTCTAAGGGGTGCAGTGAAGGCAGAGAGGGAGAAAGGAAATACCATCTCCTTTCAGGACAAAGAAAATCATGTAAAAAGGCAGCACAAGGAACCCGTAGACATGTCACTCCAGTACCCCAGGTGCAGCTAGTGTGAAGCACATAATCCCCTCCCCTCCACCCCTGTGAGCGCAAATTAAAAACAAAAGCATTTGTTGGTTTTGTTAGTGAATTTCTGTTTTGAGGTAACTGTCTCCCAAGGTTTCTGTCTATCCATGCATGCAGGAAATGTATTTGCATGTTTCAGGGCAGGAAGTGCCTGCCTCAGCCCCCCGCTGACACTTTCACCTCCTCCTGCCTTCCTCAAGCCCTGTGGCCACCTCTATAGCAGCAGGGCTCTGCCTCTCTGAGGCTTCTTCAGGCGTAGTAAGAGGGGCAGAAGACAGGCATTCTGGCCCCTGCTGCAAAGGGTCGGGGATTTGCTGAGGCCAACAGCTGAGTGGCCATCTGGACCTGGTGGCTCTGGTGTGAAACACACTTCAGCACAAGAAGTGGTTGCCCCTGAGCCCTCAGAAATGTCTGGAGCTGCAGCCCTGACAGGGCATCACGGCCTAGCCTGGAGGAAAGCAGATGCAAACTTAGAGCAGCTCACTCAGCAGCCACACCTTCAGGTGGCCAGCACTCCAGACCCTCCACGTGCTCAGCACCTTCCTCGCCCTCTTGCTAACCAATGCCTCCCCCAGGTCCCTTCATGTGCCACCATCCGCACACATAATGCCCTGCTTACTACGCATGTGTCAGTCAGTCACTTTACCTAAGCTACCTAATCCTAAGAGCAATCTCTTGATGTGGGAATTAGATGAAGAAGCTGGGTGCACAGAGGTTGGCTTCCCAGTTCAAGGTCCCATAGTTGGTGATGGACAGAGATGCCTCTCTGATGCCCAAGCCTGTGCTCTTCCTGCCAAATCACTGAGTCCCCAGACTCTCCTTTATTTCTGTGATGAAGCAAAGTAAAACAAAACAAAACAAAACAAAACACACCTTCCACAGTGGTAACTCCTTGCTTTATTTCTTTCCAACTTGGCTCCATACTTCAAAACCCACTCCAGACTAGTCTCTGCCTCTAAGGCCTGGGGCATCTGATTCCACTGGGAACAACCCTACCTGCTCCCCACCCCTCTAACTGAGTCCTGGCCACTTCCTTCCCCTACTCCCCCAATTCCATAGTAGACAAAGGGAAAGTTGGGCTTACTCCTTGTCCCCCAAATGACTTTTATTTTAACGAACGAGACCCTCTGCACAGATAACTCCCTAGAGACCCTTCCAGAGCTTCCATTAGCTTTCCTGTCAAATTTTCCATACTCCAGAGATTAACCCACCTGCTCTCTTCTTAGTTGCCACCCCCTTTTCCCCAGGGCCCCGCCTTTCCCTGATGTAATGGAACTGTTGTGATGGGCGTGGAAAACATAGCCTCTGAGCTTCTCCCTGGCCCTCTCGTCCCATGGGGATGTCAGGGTTTTCTGCTGTTCACCTAGTGGGGAATCAGGCAATAAAAGAAGAGACATGGAGAAAGTAGCTAAGCCTCAAAAGACTCCTAATAAGCTATCTCTGAACCTCAGTGGAGTGAAGTCTGCCTTGATCATGTTAAGGAGCTCATTAACAATACAGATTCCTGGATCCCACTCCCAGATACTGTCCTTCGGTCTAGTGCAAAGCAAGCGCAAACCGTGTTTTTAACAAGCTCCTTAATACTAGTGCAGGACACCCAACTGGAGTTGACTATTGAGGATTCTCAACAACCTTTTGAGAACTATAGTTCTCAGGGTTAAGTTTCCTTAAATACGAGCTTGGAGGGTCAGATGGACTTCAGCATGAATGAGCGAATTTCCAGAGCCTCTGGGCCCAGGCTCCTCTTCTGTGAGCTAAGGACAGAAATACCTATTCCATAAAGTTGTGAGGTTAAATGAAGCAATAGTACATGTGACATGTCTAATAGATGACAATCAAGAGATTGTCATAATAAATTATTATAATTAAGTCCCTTCTTTTGCCTTAAATCCCATAGGAAACAAAAGTACACATTTGGAGACTAGACCACCAAAGGCCTATTTATCTTCATTTCTGAGGAAAACCCAGGGCATATTCTTTAAGACGTCTCTCCCGTGACAGAAATGGCACAGCACCTCCCCCTCCTGCAGAGCCCTGTGCCTCTCCTTCCCTGCAGCCAGCATCACCCGTGGTGCCTGAAGCTTGCCTGTAACTGCTTCCCGTCCCTCACCAGCCCCTCTCCACTCTTACAGAACTCATACTTTACCCTCTGTCGACCCATCATCACACAGTCCTTTCACCTTTTCCCATACTACCAGTCCCCTCTAACTTGACTGGCTAGTCATTTCAGTGACATCCTTTGGAGCTTCCTAGAATCCCATGCACTTGAACTCTTACCATCTTGGCTTTCGCTTCTGGCCCCGTGCTGCTAGTGCTGACTGCACAGCCGGGCAACTGACCTCACTCAAATAGCGCTCCCCAACATGGCTTCCCTTGACTGATCTATCAAGCCCACTTCCCTCCTCTAGAGCAGTTTAAACATTCCCAGCTTCTCATGTCTTCCCCTCCCCGTGAACTCTCGGCTGATGACATCATCTTGGTTGAGGAAGAGGAACCAGCCCCAGGCATGGAATCCAGAGACCTATGTCTAGTCCAGGATCTGCCACCAACAAGCTGTGTGTGACTGTGCTGAAGTCTTTCTAGGCCTTACTTCCCTCAGCTGTGAGGGGGATGGGGAGGTGAGTGGCATAGATCAGAGACTCCCAGTGTGGCCTGTGGCCTACTACAGGGTATGCTTAGAGGTTCTGCGGGGAGGATGGCCAGTAACTGATCTAGTGTTCAGTTTCAAGAACTTTCATCTTTAAGTTCTACTGTGGGTCGTTTACCAGTACTAAGTGAATTATCAAGGGTTACTAAAATTTGCTGTCATTCTCATTTTTCTCCTCCCTGGTTCTATTAACTCACTGGAAAGTGGGACCAAGTTAGGGAGGTGGGCTGTGGTCAGAGAGGGTCAAGAAGCACTGACATCATTCTCAAGCTCCCTTCTGCCTCTAGAATTTTGATTTGCTGAAATCAAGACAGGTATGAGGTCCCTCAGCTTCCTGCCTTATACTTGGACCATCCCCCACATTTTAATGACTTTCTCTCTCTCTCCAGAGGTCAAGCTGCCCTTCCTTTCCTTTCTAAAGGTAGTCCTTCTTCCGTACACCTGATGTCACTCCTGTTGCATCTGCTCAGTGATCGTCTCACTTCATAAGGCTTCACTTTACTCATTTCCTACTGGCCTTGGTTCTTTGCCTACAAATACACTTGGGGTTATCTTATTCTAACCAACAATCACACACACCCCTTTCCTCATCCAAGAGCTCTCCGTAACAACTTCTGCCCCCTCCATGTACTCTCCTCTTGTCATCAAAATTCTCAGGACAGTCAGCCATAGTGACTCACTCTGAAAGTGACCTCATTTGCTCAAGTCCAGGGATCTTTACTTGTGGCCTGCATTTCTTTATGTTACCAGTTCTTCTAAATGAACTCTAACCACTTAGGATAAACTACTCTCCCCAAGAATCTGTTTATCAGCTTACTGAAACAATGGATACATTTATCATTTGTGTTGGTCTCATCCCCTGTCCTGCCTGTTTTTCATGCCCCACGGACCTAGGGATTCTAAGAAGGTATCTTGGGAGTGATTTTTCTCATCTCTTCTTGCATATTACTACTCCAGTGACAGTGATTTCTCCACAGCATCTCTCCCAGAGGCTCTTGAAAGGTGAGGAGTTCCATAGCCCAATATGGAGTTCTCTGCTATTTTTCCTCTCTTTAAGGAGGTCATTGTATCTCTGCCAAGCCCACTGTGATCTCCACATAGAGGCTGTGGCAGCCTCTACTGTGTGAAATTCAGGCACTCATAAGTCAAGAACCTGGATTCAACACCATACTGTCAATGCCACTTACTAGCTGTGACCACTCTGACCTTCAGTCCTCTCATCTATTAAGTAGTGATGATACAGCCTTCTAGGGTTGTGAGGATTCATATAGGGAAATATATGCAAAGGGCCTACGCATGGCAGACTTCCAATAAAAGTTAGTTCTCTTTTCCTGTAAGACAACAACCCCAGAACACAGGCCTGAAACCAGACGCAGGCCATTGACCTTCTTGACATCGTAGATTAAGTTTTGTTTCTATCTTAAGAGGTAATTCCTTATCTTTTTTTTTTTAATTTCTGTTCAAATGATCCAACTGATAAGAATGATAAGAGTGATTATCTCTGAGTGCTCAGATTAGTCTTTACGTTTTCCTGAATTTCTCAAATTTTCTACAATGTAATATGTTACTTATATCATCAGGGAAAAATGTTATTTTAAGAACACAAAACTCCTGGGGTGCCTGGGTGGCTCAGTCATTAAGCGTCTGCCTTCGGCTCAGGTCATGATCCCAGGGTCGTGGGATCCAGCCCTGCATTGGGCTCCCTGCTTGGCAGGAAGTTTGCTTCTCCCTCTCCCACTCCCCCTGCTTGTGTTCCCTCTCTTGCTATCTCTCTCTCTGTCAAATAAATAAAATCTTTAAAAAAAAAAAAAAAAGAACACAAAACTCCTTCCATTTAAAGCTGTTGATCCCACTCCGTCTATTTATTAAGAAAAGATTTTTATAGAATAATTTTCTACAAAAAAGATTGGCATTCCACAGCCAAATATTTTAGGACACGTCATAATTCTATTTTAAAAGTCAAATTTCAGCCAAAAGAAAGATCACATTGAAAGCAAGGTCTTCTGCTCTCTCTCTCCTTCATGTAAACCTCCTTCATCTAAAAAGAGGTTCTCAAAGTGTGGCCCACAGATCAGCAGCATCACATCACTTGAGAACTTTTTGGGCATACAAATTCTCAGGCCTACCCAAAACCAATTAAATCAGAAATTCTGGAGGTGGAGCCAGCAACTGAGTTTTAACAAGCCCTAGTGATTCTTAAGTTTAAGAACCACTGCTTTAACAACTCTCTCCTCTATCTGTTCTTTTCAAGTCATCCCGAAGGGGAGGCCTCCTCTCTCACTGCTACATTCAAACCACCCACTCCAGCCACTCCATGTCCGAGCAAGGTGAGTGCTGAGCAAATACGGAAGCACAGGCTTATCAGGGCCACTGAGGAAATGCCATCAGTAGGCAGAACCACTGGAAGGAGGCCTTAAGCAGGCTAGGATGTAGACAGGCAGAAGTCTTCCCCCTTGGGTCTACAACTTCCCGGAGCATCATTTTCTGGGCGAGCCTGTGATGGGAGAAGGGCACTGAGGAGACGCTGGAAGGACCCAAGGTGTTAGCCTGGTGTGTGAAGCTGGTCTACTTGGGACAGCAGTCTGCAGCATCACCCCCTCCCAGTGCTCGTCCGAGCCTGCGGCAGCACCCCTCCCAGTGCTCGTCGTAGTCTGCGACATCACCCGCTCCCAGTGTTCGTCCGAGTCTGCGGCATCACCCCTCCCAATGCTCGCCCGAGTCTGCGGCATCACCCCTCCCACTGCTCATCCAAGTCTGCGGCAGCACCCCCTCCCAGTGTTCGTCCGAGTCTGCGACATCACCCCCTCCCAGTGCTCGTCTGAGTCTGCGGCAGCACCCCTCCCACTGCTCGCCCGAGTCTGCGGCATCACCCCTCCCACTGCTCGTCCGAGTCTGCGGCATCACCCCTTCCCAGTGCTCGTCCGAGTCTGCGGCATCACCCCTTCCCAGTGCTCGTCCGAGTCTGCGGCATCACCCCTCCCAGTGCTCGTCCGAGCCTGCGGCATCACCCCCTCCCACTGCTCGTCCGAGTCTGCGACATCACCCCCTCCCAGTGCTCGTCCGAGTCTGCGACATCACCCCCTCCCAGTGCTCGTCCGAGTCTGCGGCAGCGCCCCTCCCACTGCTCGTCCGAGTCTGCGGCAGCGCCCCCTCCCACTGCTCGCCCGAGTCTGTGGCATCACCCCCTCCCACTGCTCGTCCGAGCCTGCGGCAGCACCCCTCCCACTGCTCGCCCGAGTCTGCGGCAGCACCCCTCCCACTGCTCGCCCGAGTCTGCGGCAGCACCCCTCCCACTGCTCGCCCGAGTCTGCGGCAGCACCCCTCCCACTGCTCGTCCGAGTCTGCGCAGCACCCCTCCCACTGCTCGTCCGAGTCTGCGACATCACTCCCTCCCAGAGCTCGTCCGAGTCTGCGGCAGCACCCCTCCCACTGCTCGTCCGAGTCTGCGCAGCACCCCTCCCACTGCTCGTCCGAGTCTGCGGCAGCACCCCTCCCACTGCTCGTCCGAGTCTGCGGCAGCACCCCTCCCGGTGCTCGTCCGTCCGCTCTCACCTTCCTCGGGGCAGCAGCAGCGGGCAGGGCAGCAGGGGCAGCGGATGTAGCAGCAGCAATGCTGAGGACAGCTCTGGCACCAGCACACCCCGATCAGCAGGAGCAGGAGGAGGGCTCCCAGAATGATGAAGATCACTGTCAGCCAGTCTGCAGCGGAGACGCCAAGAGCAAGCTAACGAAACATGCCGGTGGAATGCTTCCAGGTCTAACATCCTAGAGGTCTGATAAATACAGCTCTTGATCTATAGGTTACGTTCAATCACATAGTGGGGGGGGAAAAAAAAAGTTTAGCTTTGGTAAGGGACCTTCAGAGGTTGGCAATCCAGCAATAGGCTGGGCTTGCTTGCTTCTGTTTTTTGTTGTTGTTTTTTTTTTCTCTGTGTGTAAAAGTGTCACAGTGATGGGGTGGCTAAAGAGAAAGCTCCAGCAGCACTTACGCAGGACAATGAGCTTCACCTCCTTATCTGGGTCTCCTGACGTGTCCCCGGGAGCCTCAATGGTGCAATAATACACTCCATGGTCCCACCACATCACTTCATTAATCACCAGATCTGCTCCTGCAGGGAGGGATGGAGAAAGTGCCAGGGGTTAAAGGAGAGGGCCCTGGTTTCTGACCTATGGCTTAGAGACCCAGCACTGTCCTTCCACATCCTAAGAGGGCCCCTCGTAGTGCAGAGGAAAGCCTAAAGCCCTTTCACTGAGACCCTCCTCTTTCCCCAAACAGTACAATGATGGTAGAACTGACCATTCATTGAGCCCTACCAGGTACCCTGAAAGGATTTTGGACATCACCTCATTTCATTCCCACCACAGCTCTCTGAGTGGGTGAGGTACACACTACATTGCCTCCCAGGGATACAACTTTCCCTCACAGTCATATAACTTTTGGTCATGGATGTGGCCATCCAGAATAAAGTCACTATTTCCTATCCTCTCTTAAAGGTGGACATGGACACACAACTCCGTTCTGGTGGACAGAATGCAAGCAGAAGGGTCACATGATGGCTCCCAGGAACTTTCCTAAAACAGTTTGGGAATATTTTTGTCCTTCTCTTCTTTTCTTTTACTCTGTTATCTGGAGAGCAAATGTGATGGCTGCTGTCTTGGACCATGAGGAAGAAAAAGACTTTCTTGGTGAGCTGGAGCTTGGGCCTGTTCCTGAGGACTTGATGGAACAGGGCCACCACACTAATTTTGGACTGTCTACCTCCAAATTTATACTTGAGAAGAAATAAACTTCTTTATTGTTTAAGTCACTAATATTTTGGGTTTTGCTTACTCACAAACTCGATACCATCCTGATACAGTAAGTATGCTTATCAGCTGCATTTCAGATGAGGAAACCAAGACTCTAGGAGGCTAAGAAACTGGCCTAAGAACAGAGAAATAATGAGTAGCAGAGGTAGGTTCAAATCCATGTCTCTCTGCTGCAACCCTGGTGCTCTTAACCACTAAGTTCTAATGTCCTTTCCTAAGGGGTGGAAAACTCCACAGCCTGGGTTCCTCACCAGCTGTGAACGGATCCCTCTGGATCTTAGAGGGACAATTTATAAGATGAAGTTGAATAAGCAAGGATGAAATGCCAATATTTTAAGGGTAAATGTTACTCGATGTTCAAGAAAGGAATTTCAGTTTTCATGAGCACTAAGCGCTGGGCTACCTCATTAAGATAGATGAATGGTATGTTCAAGTTTAGTAAATGCAACAGATTTTCACTGAAGACCTTGTGTGGGTCCAGCTCTATGTCAGACCCTGAGGAAGATCTGCAGAGGAATAAGACTCATCTCTGTCCTAAAAGGGCTTAAAGTCCAGTCAGGGGCATCAGGACAGCCTCCACATCCCTGCTATTTCATCCACAGTAGAGTGCCAGGGGACAACTTCAAATTCCTTTTTAAAAACCCTTAGCATTATAATTTTTTTTTTAAGATTTTATTTATTTGAGACAGAGAGAATGAGAGAGAGAGAGAGAGCACATGAGAGGGGGGAGGGTCAGAGGCAGAAGCAGGCTCCCTGCCGAGCAGGGAGCCCGATGCGGGACTCGATCCAGGGACTCCAGGATCATGACCTGAGCCGAAGGCAGTCGCTTAACCAACTGAGCCACCCAGGCGCCCAAACCCTTAGCATTATAGACTTGCTCCTGCTTACTTAGCAATCCCATCTATAATTCTTCATTATCTGTTTGTCAAAAAATATTTATTGAGGAAATGAAACAAAAATGCAAGGTCATGTACCACTGGAGCTAACTTCAACTTCTGTTTCCTTCTCTTTCTACGTCAAGCTCTACGATTTTTTTCCTACCCATGATTTTCCAAACACACTACCTTTCCCAGAAATAAGCTTACCCCAGACTTGGAAGAATGGTAAAAATGCTTTGGAGGAAATTCTCTCTTAATGTTAATGTGCATTAAAAATCTGCCCCAATTTTTATTAGAGACATAAAGATTTTTTTTTTAGGGCTATCACAGTAATGAGGACATTCAGATATGTTGATATTTTAAATAATCCAAGAACTGACTTGACATGGTCATCTCAAATGATGCACACACAGGCATAAAGTGTCAGAAAACAAGGGCTTCAGGAAGTCATGACAAGTATGGAGGTAGAAATAAAAACCAAGGGGAAATACTGCTTTCCCATGGGTGTAAGGGAGAAACAGAGTTTGATCCAAGGGTGATTGGGAGTAGAGATAGTGGATGGTATTACTCAGAATTAGAAAAAAAGAAAAGTGGGGACTGTCACCTGTGGGGATTTTCATCCTTCAAAAACTATAAAGGAGGCTTGCCAGTTGAAGAGACTTTAAACTTTGGAATCAGATGAGGGCTAATTCTGCAGGCTCTGGGAAAAGGAGAACCACCCTGACTCTTTGAGAATGTAGCTAGAGACCAGAAAAGGACAGATGTTCCTTAAGGCCGAGAGTTTAAGGGCTGGCTTGGGGGAATCAGAGATCACATGTAAAAGAATCAGACTTAAATATCACAGCCAAAGTATTATACAAAAATTTGGAAGCAAATATTAAATTGGCTCCCTTTAAATGGTCATAGAGCATTCACTGATTTCCTCACATTGTTGCTACAGGTACCTGAGTGGCCTGCTTCATGTATTCTCCCTTCTTTTTCCCCTTTTAATCAGCAAATATTTGTTTAACACAGCATGTGAAGCTCACTGAAACAGGCTCTGAATTCTGTGCCAATAACCCATCACGGCCATCCTGGATTACAAGATAGGAATATGGGCCGCTAGCCCATCCATCCAAAAGTGCCCTCAGTGATTGTAACTAAAGTTCACTGCACACTTAATATTTGCTAAGTGTTTTATGCATATCATCTCACTTAATCCTGACGGCTCTCCAGGAGATGGGTAGTACTACGGCAAGTCCCATTTTGTAGAAATTGAGGCTAAAAAAATTGAAGGGACTTGCCCAGGTTCACATACCCTATAAGTGCAGAATGGGGACCCACACCCGAGTCTGAGGGCTCCAACCACCAGCCCCTATACTAGGCACAAAGAATAAGTATGCTTTACACATAGCTCTTAGATATCACATTTGATATTTACTTCAGTGTGCAGACACAGAGACCATTATGTCCACCTTTCAGATGAGGTAATAGAGGCCAGGGAAAACATCTGCTACTGGTCCACAAGCTAGCAGGTGGAAGAAGCAGGACACTCAGCCAGGTCTTTAGATTCTAAGGCTAATGCTCTTCCCTCTACCAATGGGCAATGATGGTCTTCAGGTAGCCATTTACTTGGAAGCCCTTTAGACATGTACAACAGGAGTGGCCAGAGGGAAACTCAGCGGCCTGGGGTTCATGCAGGCCCTGAGAGCAATTTATGGGAGGGAGCAAACAAGCCTGAGCCACACCTCAGCCGTGAAAAAGCAAAAGAGACCACCCACTCCCAGACCTTTAGCCAAAGCTGTAGGACATCTTCTCATCTAGAGACCAACTTCCAGGGGAGTGACTTCAGATGGTGGTAACAGCATTCTATGTATCTGGCACTTTCCTCAAACAAACACACAAACAAACAAACACAAAACCAAAAAAAAGAAAAAAGAGGGTGCCTGGGTGGCTCAGTCGTTAAGCGTCTGCCCTCGGCTCAGGTCATGATCCCAGAGTCCTGGGATCGGGTCCCACATCGGGCTCCCTGCTCGGCAGGAAGCCTGCTTCTCCCTCTCCCACTCCCCCTGCTTGTGTTCCTGCTCTCGCTATCTCTCTGTCAAATAAATAAATAAAATCTTTAAAAAAAAAGGAAATGCCCACAATGACTCAGTCAGGCCCAGGCCCGGTGTCTGCACCTCTTGCCGCCCCCAGATCCCTGCCGCCTCCCCTGCACTCACGGTTCTGGATGGTGATCTTGCGCTGCCGGTAATCCACCCCCAGCACGGGCTCATTCTGCCCCCGCCTCTGAGCCACGATGCGAACCTCCCGCTGACTGTCGTTGCAGTCATTGGATGGGTCCTGGCCCAGGGATAAAGCCGCCTGGTATGCTGAGGAAAGAGGACACAGCCAGGTCACACAGCAATGGGGAATTCCCATGGAGAAAGGTGCCCTTACTGTTCCCTGGAGCAGAGAAGCTTCTCATTTTTATCCTGAGCTCATGTGTCTACTGGGAATCCTGCTAAACATGAAGATTCTGATTCTGTGGGTCTGGAGTGAGAATCTGAGAGTCTGCATTTCAGAGGAACTCTCGGGTAATACTAATGAACCTCTGAGCAGCAAGATCCAGACCCCTCTCAAAGGTCATCATTTCCAAATCCTGGCTCCATGCTCCTGTCTCCCATTCCAACTACCCTTGCTTCATTTTTGGTCACCCCAGATTCTGCTCCTATAGGGCTCATCCACCTGCCCTTATAATACATTTGCTGGTGGCAAATGCCTGCTACCCTGGCCTCTCCTCCATTCCGACTTTATTTGAAAAGTAACCCCCTGGAAATCATGCCTTGATTCAGAGATGTGTCTTTTGGGGACAACGCCAGGTTCTGTGGGTGACTCAGACATTTAGGTATCAGGGTTCATACTGTAAGACATTAGTCAGGGCTAAAAGAGGTAAAGCTGATGCCTCTCCCCTTTTTCCTCACCTCTGGAAGCTCACTTCCTTCCTACAAAGACGGTGTCTACTTGTACTCTCAAAATCTCTACAAGGGTAATTGTCCAGGGCTGATGGTGAGGATCTGGGTTCCTTTGTTCCTTGAGAGAGTAGAGGTAGACAGCTAAAAAGAACTTTGGTTCCAGGGAGGAGAGCTGACATGAGTGGGGCAGCTGCTACTGAGAGGTAGGACTTGGCTAAGTGTGTGTGTGTGGGGGGGGGGGTGTGCAGCACTGAAAATGTGTTCCCTGGGGGCAGTGGGCTCTCGCTCACTGGGAGAGTTTCATTGGCCACTAGGAAGGCTGGCCACAAAAGGGAGTGTGGCAGTGGGGGAGGGGGGGAGGTTCACAAACGCCACTCCTCAGGGTCCTGGGGGATGTAGGAGGCTTCTTGTCCACGTCCTCAGGTGGTAAAGGGAATGGAGGCGGACTGCATACTCATCTCAGTGTGCCGGCATGCAACCAGGAATGGACCAGGAGGCAGGACTGGCACTGCCTTTTAAAAAACTTAATGTCTGAGCTGCCTACATCTTTTCAGAACAAGGTAGGACACAAATCTTAAAATAAAATAGTATGTGACCTCAAATAAGTTACTTCATCTGTCTGGGTTGTTTATTTATCTATAAAATGAGGGGACGAGGGGCGCCTGGGTGGCTCAGTCATTAAGCGTCTGCCTTCGGCTCAGGTCATGATCACAGGGTCCTGGGATCGGGCCCCGCATCAGGCTCCCTGCTCCGCGGGAAGCCTGCTTCTCCCTCTCCCACTCCCCCTGCTTGTGTTCCCTCTCTCGCTGTGTCTCTCTCTGTCAAATAAATAAATAAAATCTTTAAAAATAAAATAAAATAAAATGAGGGGACGGCATTAAGTGAACTTTGTGGCTCCCTCTCAGAAGGATTTGTGGCCCTATGCCCTAATGGCCATGCTTCACAGAGGGACGTACGTGGGCTGAAGGAGGAGGGACTCACATGCAGAGTAGTAGTCAAAGATGGGGTCCTTGCAGAAGGACTTGAAGCGCCACGTCACTACGACATCCTGGAGCTGGGCAGAGGTGGTGTAGTCACATTTAAGGACGATGGAGGCAAACAGTGTGACATAGCGCTCTGTGTGCTGGACCGTCACCAGCAAGGACAGGCACCCTGCAGCCAAGAGCAAGAGACAATGCTGAAGGCAGACTATGTCTCTGGGAGGTGACCTACTTCTGTTCATGGGGTAATAAAAGCAATGCAAATAAGCAAACACACTGGCTGACTAGTTGGGAGCTGGCAGGCAGAGTGGGAGGCAAAGACCACACAGACAACCTGGGGGAGATGGGGGAGAGAAAGAGGAAGGATGACTCGCAAGGATCTTGTGATCCATTGACAGTGTTAACACGTTCAACAACAATAAAGAAACTATATTAAAAGAAGGCCTACAGACAAAGCACTGATTTCCAAGATCTATAAAGAACTTCTCAAACTCAGCACCCAAAAAACAAATAATCAAGTCAAAAAATGGGCAGAAGACATGAACAGACACTTCTCCAAAGAAGACATACAATTGGCTAACAGACACATGAAGAAATGTTCATCATCATTAGCCATCAGGGAAATTCAAATCAAAACCACATTGAGATACCACCTTACACGAATTAGAATGGCAAAAATTGACAAGGCAAGAAACAACAAATGTTGGAGAGGTTGTGGAGAAAGGGGAACCCTCTTACACTGTTGGTGGGAATGCAAGTTGGTACAGCCACTTTGGAAAACAGTGTGGAGGTTCCTCAAAAAATTAAAAATAGAGCTACCCTATGACCCAGTAATTGCACTACTGGATATTTACCCCAAAGACACTGATGTAGTGAAAAGAAGGGCCGTATGCACCCCAATGTGCATAGCAGAAATGTCCACAATAGCCAAACTGTGGAAAGAGCCAAGATGCCCTTCAACAGACGAATGGATAAAGAAGATGTGGTCCATATATACAATGGAATATTACTCATCATCAGAAAGAATGAATACCCAACTTTTACATCAACATGGATGGGACTGGAGATTATGCTAAGTGAAATAAGTCAAGCAGAGAAATTCAATTATCATATGGTTTCACTTATTTGTGGAACATAAGGATTAGCATGGAGGACATCAGGAGAAGGAAGGGAAAAATGAAAGGGGGGAAATCGGAGGGGGAGATGAACCATGAGAGACTATGGATTCTGAGAAACAAACTGAGGGTTTTAGAGGGGAGAGGGTAGGGGGATGGGTTAGCCTGGTGATGGGTATTAAGGAGGGCACGTACTGCATGGAGCACTGGGTGTTATATGAAAACAATGAATCATGGATCACTACATCAAAAACTAATGATGTATTGTATGGTGACTAACATAACATTATAAAATTAAATTAAATTTAAAAAAATAAGTAAAATAAAAAGGGGAAAAGAAAAAAGAAGGTCATATAGTGAGCTTGCCAATACACGTATATATTTTTTCATGTTACTTCCTTTTAAAATGTTTCCCCACTTCTTCAGGGAAGTTCAACAGGCCTATGAGGCCAATCAGGTCTGCCTTCAGCCTTTCTCTGCTGCCTCATCTCCCTTCCAGGCCCACCTCACACTCAGGGTATCAGCCACCCTGAACTTGCTCCATTCCTTCCCTTGGCAGGATCACCATCTTCTCCAGGTCTTCCCACATGTAGACCTCCTGGCTGGAGCACTCTCCCAGAGCACCAGCCACCACTCCCTTCCCTTCACGAGGCTAATTACTATGTATTCCTTAGGTCTTCAGCAGCACCCTCACCTCCTCCAGAAGCCTTCCCTGACTGCAAATCTGGGAGAGGGGTCTCCTGTGTTTTCCCAAAGTGCCTCTTCCCCCACCAGGCAGGACATTTCACATGCCTTGGTGATGGCCAGCTAACTGCAGGCTCTGAGAAAGCCGGCTGAGTCTGTCTCTGACTCACCGTTAAAGCACAACCTCACAACTGTACCTGTCACCTCCTTGGCACCCAACAAATGTTTGTTGAATAAATAATGGAATGAATGACCAGGAATCCATTAACAATAGAAACTGGCAGTACAGGTGGTCAACATGAGCATAAAATAAATAAAAATGATCAGACTGTGACAAATTTTATTACAAAAGACTTGAGCGTGCCTGGATGGCTCAGTTGGTTAAGTGGCTGCCTTCAGCTCAGGTGGTGATCCTGGAGTCCCAAGATCGAGTCCCACATCAGGCTCCCTGCTCAGCGGGGAGTCTGCTTCTCCCTCTGACCCTCCCCCGTCTCATGCTCTCTCTCCCTCTTTCTCAAATAAATGAATAAAATCTTAAAAAAAAAAAAAGACTTGAAGAAATTAAGAATTTTTCTTTTCTCTTTTTTAAGGCTCCTCCCTAGCCTCCAAAGCTACAAACACACAGCTCCAGGTCTGCCTTGATGAGGAACCCAGTGACACAGAAAGTCAGGTGGCACTTTGGCATGGTCAGAGGTCCACACATAACCAACATCTTAGAATGTTCCTATGTCAAGATGGTCTCTAGGCCAAGTTATAGGGGCTCTTCTCATGGGAGGTTTAGTGCAGAATAATAGTACTCAAACTTGAGCATGTGCCACGGAGAGGACTTGTAATGGCCCAGATCACTTTCAGGAGGAGTTTCTGATTCAGGAGGACTTGGGTGGGGCCCAAGAACTCACATTTCTAACAAGTTTCCAGGAGATGGTGACTGCTCTCTGGGTACCATGCTTTGAGAACCACCGGTGTGGACTGACAGGCTTGGACTCGGATACAACTGGGTTCAAATAAAACTTCACTATTTATTTGGACATTGTACAAGCTATTTACTGAGTTGTTTTCCCCCCGCCCCCCCAAGCTAGGACTGCAGATTATGATAGTACTAACCTCATCAGGTCCGTGAAAGGATGCAATGAGATAATTCACTTCTGGCAATTGGCATGGTGCCTGGTACATACGCTGTTGTGTTAGTGTCAGGGTCTGAGTCTCTTTCCTCCTCCTTTCCTCTATGATGAAGGCCAAAAAGAAAGGGGTTCAAGCGGGGGTTCTCTCCAAGGGAGTTCTCAGGTGGACCAGCCTCATTTTGACGGAGATACACCCACAAACACGAACTTTTAGCCCCCACCCTCACCCCTTACAAAACAGCTGGGTGGGCCTGGCTCGAAGGTCACTGCCACATGGTTCTGGATCCTGCCTCATCTTCGGGACACAGCCCTCATAAGACAGTAAGCTGTGATTATAATGGGCACATGCACCCACTTTTCTCATGTCCACAGAGAAAGATCAGGGTGCTGCTCAGGACAGGTCCTTGCCCCCAGAAATGACCCAAACTGTCTCCAGGACTGGGCTGAAATGATGATGTGCCTGTGACAGGCATGCTGGAGAGAGGGTCTGCAGAAATATGAGGGACACCTGTGGGTGGGGAAGACTTCATGAAAAAAGACATATAAACTGGGCCCTAACACTGAAGTAGGATTAAGATTACACACGAAAAATAGGAAGAAGGCAGAGAAACTCATAGTTTCAAGACAGAAGAAAAGAGAAGCAGCCCTTATCAGGAAGGAGCAGTTACTTGGGGAGCCTGGAGAGAACCGACCCCTGGCTTTATGGGAAACAGAGGGATCAATAAGGAAGGACTGGTGGTAGTGACTGGGGCTGGGGAGACCGGGTGGAGCCCAAATCTCACTGAAGCATCTATTTCTAGTTAATGGGTAATCACTGAACACTTTCTGTAGAGTAATAGGGCAAAGGTGGTTTTTTTAGGAAGACTGTTGACTTCCTCATCCAGTTATAAAGATCATCATTTTGAAAATGAGCCTTGAGTAGTTTGGGGGGGAAAATAGCTGCTGTCTCTGCTAGCTATAAGATTCCTGGAAATTAGTCCAATCGGAATGGAAGAGCCAGTGACTAGCATCTCAAGCCTAATGTGAATTGTTTTGTAATCTGCTTTATTATTTTTGCCTCTCCACTCTCACCATCCCCCTTGTTTTCTTCCAGAACTGGCCTGAAACAGACCTTGGAGCTTCTGCCCAACACAGCTTTAACCGAAGAGAAGTCACTACAGGTAAGCTTTTGACAATGCCGAGGATGGCAATGTCAACACTAGCTTATTCTGCTCAGTAAATATATGGATTAGAATAGAGATTAAAACACCTATTTATGGTCTAAACAAAATCCCATACTCACACCGTACTTTCAAATATTGTCTTTTACACACTAAATATGACCCCTGGGAGTAGACAATCGGGGCCATTTCGCACGCCACAAATCTGAGACTGGAAAAGATGACTGGCTTGTCTGTGGTCATTCATTTTCTAAGGAGGTCAGAGTCAAGATTCCACCCCTGAGCAGTGCTCTCTCCACTCTGCCCGGTTATTCTCTAAATAAAGGAAAATGTTTGGTACTCATTAGCCTGCAAACAATCGGAGTGGAGAGACAGGCGACAACTGGCATCAGTCACTCTGGTACTGTGATTAACAAGCTACATGTTCTTCATTTTGCTGAACGGCAGTTTGACATAAACAGCAATTTATTCAAAGGGCGCTGGTTAACATTATTTGTGTAGAGGTGAGAGGGCAAGTTTGCTGGTAGTCAGAGAAAGGAATTCGGTTGGAGCTAGGAGTTGCTCTGGCGGAGCTTTGAAGATTGCTGAATCTGACACTCTGAGGGAGGAGAATGGGGACAAGGGTGATCACCTTCATTACCAAGTCCTCCCTCAGCAACCCTTCCATGAATGCCTTTATTATGGCCAATACACACCTGCGGTGACATGACTCACCTTTACCAACGTCAGCACTGGCTTTGCCACCTGGGTGCTATTCTTTCATCCTCTCTTTGAATTCGTCCCTTGGGTGAATTTCAAGCCTCAAAATATGTCAGGTTCCCATGATTTTGCCCCTACTGAGCTTACTCACACGCTCTCCCAGGGTCTGCCAGCCCCACAGCAACCTGCCCAACTCTCAGACCTTCATCCCTGGCCTTCCACAAGAAGACCGGGGAAGAGTCCCAGGACAAAAGGTACCGGGCAACCAGCAAACCTCTCTCCCCTTAGCTCAGCTGCTGCCCTGGATCTCAGCATCTACTGTGTGCCAGGTGATATACATACACTGTCTCTAATCCTCACAAAACCCCCGGGGGTGGGAACAGTCCTACTCATACACATGGGCAAAGGTTTAGAGACTGTAATAAGCCAAGCCCTCTCAGCTTCAGAATTTGGTTTTGCTGGAGTTTTGGTTTTGCACGTTGGGTAAACATGATCTCTCCCACGCAGGCAAGCTTGACTTTCAAAGTGGAAGTCTGGTGCTAGACTCAGAAAGCAGGAGGATTTTCCAGATTGGGAGGAGGATAGCCCATCTCAAAGGCAAAAACCTCCCATCCTTCTTGTCCTTTAGCCTTGGACTTCTCGGTAAAACTAACCACATTGGGCATGCACACTATTAGGCAGGTAAAGTTTTCAAGAAGAGACTAAGAACAGCAGAATCTGAGCTGAAAAGAGGAAGAGATTCAAAAAGGTAGATGTCCTTTTGATCTGTGCTCTTTAAACTGTCTTCAAATTCTTATATTGTCTTTCTATTATTTTTTGAGGGGAGGGGAGGGGCAGAGGGAGAAGGAGAGAATCTTAAGCTCAGGGCTCAATCTCACAACCCTGAGATCATGACCTGAACTGACATCAAGAGTCCGATACTTAACCTACTGAGCCACCCAGGTACCCCTTTCTATTCTTAAATTTCCTTCATCCTGTGGCATCTCCTTCCCCTCAGCTAACTGCCATCTGATTTCCTAAATATCTCTATCATTTTCTTCTCAAAGCTTTAATTCTGGAGACTGACTTCCTAAGTTCAGATTCTGTCTCCACTCCCCCACCAGTTAAAAGACCTGACAAGTTATTTCCAAACTACAGTTGCCTCTTTATATATAAAACTGGAATGATAATAATATTTCCCTGATAGGTGTGTCTGGGTGGCTCAGTTAAGTGTCTGACTCTTGATTTTGGCTCAGGTCATGATCTCAGGGTTCTGGGATCCAGCCCTGCCTCGGGCTCCCTATTCAGCAGGAAATCTGCTTGTCTCCCTCTCCCTCTGCCCCTTCCCCCACTCACATGCACATGTGCACGTGCTCTCTCTCTCTCTCTCTAAAATAAGCAAATAAATCTTTCAGTGTTTATACCCCCACTCACACGCATATGTGCACGTGCTCGCTCTCTCTCTAAAATAAGCAAATAAATCTTCCAATGTTTATACTGAGTAAATCTTTCAATGTGTATATCCACAATAGCCAAAATATGGAAAGAGTCCAGATGTCCACTGACAGATGAATGGATAAGGAAGATGTGGTGTGTGTGTGTGTGTGTGTAGTGAACTATTACTCAGCCATCCACAAGAATGAAAGCTTGCCATTTGCAATGATGTAGATGGAGCTAGAGTGTACTATGCAAAGCAAAATAAGTCAGTCAGAGAAAGACAAATATCCTATGACTTTACTCATATGTGGAATATAAGAAACAAAACAGATGAACATAGGGGAAGGGAAGGAAAAATAAAATAAGATGAAAATAGAGAGGGAGGCAAACCATAAGAGACACTTAATTCTAGGAAACAAACAGGGTTGCTGGAGGGGAGGTGGGTGATGGAAAGGGGTAACTGGGTGATGAGCATTAAGGAGGGCACTTGGTGTAATGAGCACTGGGTGTTATATGCAACTGATAAATCACTAAATTCTACCCGTGAAACTAATAATACAGTATATGTTAACTATATTGAATTTAAACAAAGAATTTAAAAATAAATAAATAAATAAATGGGAGGGGGATAAAAGAAAAAAAAAATAAGTCTTAAGAAAAAAAAAATACTTCCCTGATAGTGTTGTAGTAAGGATTAAATGATATAATAAATGTCCAGAATTTAGCAAATAGCCTGGGACATAATAGCCACTGAATAAACATTAGCTATTATTTGTATCATTTGTACTTATCTTGCCCACCGTAGAGATTGAGGTCAATTGAGAACAGCAAATAAAAGTATTAAGAATTAAAGAATTAAAACGATACAAATGTTATTATGCAGCCATCAAAAAAACCTGAAATCTTGCCATTTGCAACACCATGGATGGAACTAGAGGGTATTATACTAAGCGAAGTAAGTCAGTCAGAGAAAGACAATTATCATATGACCTCACTGATATGAAGAATTCGAGAAAGAAGGCAGAGGATCTTAGGGGAAGGGAGGAAAAAATGAAACAAGATGAAACAAGATGAAACCAGAGAGGGAGAGAAACCACAAGAGACTCTCAATCTCAGGAAACAAACTGAGGGTGGCTGGAGTGGGGGGTTGGGTGGGAGGGATGGGGTGGCTGGGTGATGGACACTGGGAAGGGTATGTGCTATGGTGAGCGCTGTGAATTGTGTAAGACTGATGAATCACAGACCTGTACCTCTGAAACAAATAATACATTATATGTTAAAAAAAAATTAAATGATACAAATGTAAACTGGCATTCAAAGCTTTTAAAGCTGCGTCACTTTGCACCCTGGCAAACCCATTCAGTTTGTCTCCTCTGAAAGAGGGAGGGAAACCTGTCATTTAAGGGTGGAAATGTAACTTCAAATGAGATATCGGAGCTCGTGGGAAGAAGGGAAGGAGAAGGGGATTCTCTGTTTCCTACCATGAAGTACTTTCCAACACGATGCCGTTGTGCAGCGTGGGGACTACATCCCATATTAAAGTCGAAGGAAAACATACCAACGGAAGAAGATTATCTTTACCATTGAAAGCTATGTGTTCCAAACACATGCATATCTTTGTATATTTCTTTATTCAGTCTGTCTTCCCTGTGTTATATCAGATTGGGCAAGATGTTTTACAGTTTCTAGAATATTTTATCCATACAACACAGGGACATAGCTACAATTTTTTTTTTTTTAACTAAGAACTCTTTTCAGGGGACTGAATGGCATTTCCCCTCCTCTACACATGAAGGCTCTTGCCTGGAAGGGAGTGGCAGGCAGAGGGATAGCAGGGTCTTTCCAGGCAAGGGGCAGTGGCCTGGTGTTAACTCCTGATAGAAGGTCTCGCTTCTTGAATGTTTTTCACATATCCAGGCACCTCTGTGCCACTCAGCAGGTCACAAAAAGTACACAGGTCTAATCCTATCAGAGTTTATGTCTGAGCAAGCTATCTCCCCAAGTATATTTGCCATCTGTACTTGTTACACTTCCTTAGATAACAGTGCAAATATGAAAGGAATCAAGTGGAAGAGGGAGTGGCCGTTGAGTGTGAACCCAAAGTAAGGATGGAGAGAATTAGGAGAGGAGGAAAGGCGACAAAGAGAAGTGGGCTGGGGTAGGGGAGGAATTATGTCTATGTATTCCATGTCGAACAAAGGTCTGGTATCTGCTACTCTGTATTGCGCTAAGCATGTGGCTACTCTGGGGAGGAGACTCATAGAGACTGAGCACTTGCTATGTGGTTAGCCATGGTACGGGGTCTTTCTTATATGGTATCTCATTTAATCTTTGTAAAACACTCATGAGATAAGCCTTATTTTATGTCCATTTCTTTTTTTTTATTTATTTTTATTTTATTTTATTTTTTAATTTTTTTTTATGTCCATTTCATAGATGAGAAAAATCCTCAGGGGAGTTAAGTAACTGGCTTAAGGCCTCACAGCTAGCGCTGGCCAGCATGCCCTGTGTGTGGTAGGCATTCAACATCTGCTGCCCAGAAGAACAGACGAATGCACACAAGACAGGCTAAACTGCCTGGAATAAATTTTAAGCACTCTAAAAGTACAGAAAATAAATAAAGTTAACCATCTGTAGCATGGTCAGACGAAAAAACAAAGTGTGTTGCAGGGGAGAGGAAGTACCAGCGCACGCCCATACCACTGGGGAGAAGGCTACCCGAAGTAGTGAGGCCAGAATGAGTGAGCCTTGAAATCCAAACAAAGAGCTTTAACCCACTCTTACAAGCTATGGAGATCCTGTAGAGGTGCTTGGAGGATTGGAGTGAAGGTGGGAAAGGGGAACCCAGGTAGGTAACCTATCATCCACGAGACAGAGACAGTAGCAGACCTCAAGGAGATGGTTAAGATGCTTAAAATAGGCTAGTGTGAGGTTTATCACCTGGAATAGAAAAGAGGGCACAGATCCTGGGATTAAGAAACAGAACATGGTGATTAACAGGGTTTGGGAAATGAAGAAAGTGTCAAAACTGCCTTCCTCTGACCCCACCTTACCCTAAGATTTAAAGATTGAAAACTACAGAAATAAAGACGAGGGGTGCTTGGGTGGCTCAGTTGGTTGAGAGTCTGCCTTCAGCTCAGGTCATGATCCCAGGGTCCTGGGATCCAGCACTGCATCAGGCTCCCTGCTCAACGGGGAGCCTGCTTCTCTCTCTCCTCTCTGCTCCTGCTCTCTCGCTATCTCTTTCCCTATCTCTGTCACTCAAATAAATATATAAATAAATAATCTTAATTAAAAAAAAAAGGAAGATGAGAGAAAGATGACACATGATCTAAGTCTTCCTAATTCTTAAAACACACCCTTTTATTTCTCCCCCACGGACATGATGTAATACAGTACTGGGCTGAAAGAAACCCAGGCAGACGGTACATTAATTACCCAGCATCTCATTCCACGGCATCGTTGTTGGGGCAAGATGTTTAATAAAAAGCATTTAGTTAGACATCCAAGAGGCAATCTGTTTCTATTTCTGCATACCAGGATTCAATTAGACAAAATAAACTTGCTCCACAGTATGAAACAGGGGAAAGAGCCATGGACTAAAAGCAAGGATGCCAAGGTTCTGGTCTCAGCGCTCAAACTAACTCCATTGTATCAACCTAAGGCTCGTGACCTCCCTGGATAGATTTCCTTATCTGCAAAACTGGCCCAGAGGGGAAGACAGACAGGGACTGGGTATGATTTGTACTTGAGTTTAGCAGAGCCCTGGGATTCTGGTGAGGTACTTCAGGGGCCCCATGGAGGTGAGGAAGGAGCTAAGTGGGCAGCTCCCATCCACCACCCACACCCCCCTCAGCCTGAGAAGCTCCACTTTCCTATCCACTATATTGGGGATTGAGATGTCATTCAGTTTTCAACGTGATCCCACACTTTACCCTCACCACGAAGGGAAAATTCCTGGACTATATGCTCTCTAAGAATCATGTCCCTTAGGAGTCAGCCGGCTGATTTCCCGAAGAATGATAATACAAGTTGAGAGCTGCGTGAATCTGTAAGTTAACACCACTCTATAATCTTAAAAAAATTCACAGAAGTCCCAATGAGACACACCCTTTTAGAATTTGAGTAGAAAACTAAAGTTTCATTCCAGGAATAGACTTTGAGGCTGGATGGAGGTAACCAAAACTATTAGCCAATAATGCAAAAGGCTGTAAGTACTTACTTTAGATTATCTTAATGTTTTGTTTTAAGGAGTAAGTATCACTTGTGTGATAAAATTTTCTTTTTAAAGAAAAATACTCTGAAGTACAAAAACAAACAAACCAGAACTCTGACAAGTGATCTGCCCACAGCTCAGAGCACAGGGACTGTGGTAACTTCCCAGGACTCCCTGACCTGAGAGGCTTCATCAGGGCCTCTGGTCACATTGACCAGCTAGCCAGTATCCAAATCTGACCTAATTTCACTAATGACCCACACTTTACAACTGCAGAAACTTGGATGCTCACCAGAAGGTTGGGCTAACTCTTCTTTAGAAACAGAAGAGAATGGGGTGATGGACCAAAATGAACATACTCTTGGGTTTTCCAAAGTTCATAATGCAATTTGCAGCAGATCTTGAGAAAATCAACTTACTGGATTCTTCTATTTCATGTTAATCTGGGGACTATTTTCTACTAATTTAAATGTTATTAAAATAATATATGATGTCAATTTGTTATTCTTTTATCCAGCATCGTAATGGGCTTGTGTGTGTGCACGTATTTTTGTTTCTGTTTTATAAATCTTATCTATGTGTACATGTCACAACATAAACCGTATTTCTTTTTACAGTGAGAACTGTAAAAAAAAGTTTGAAAAGCACTGCTTTGGCAGATACTGGAAGTGAGAGAAGAAACTTGATTTTCAGTTTGATCTTAGAGAATTTTAGGAAGTTTGGTCTAAAAATAAAGAGATGGGGGCGGTGGCGAGGGACCCAATATTTCCTGAGTGATGACCATTTTGTAGATGCTGTGCTTGATCTCAACTCACCCAACATGAGTTGGCCTTACAGGGGTGGGAGGGTGGGAGGTGGGAGGGTCTCATCAGGAATTTTACTTGTTTTCTAGATGAAGAGAATTGAAGTAATTCCTCTAAAGTCACAGCTAGTAAGAGGCAGAATCTGAATTTCAACCTGAGAGTCCATCTGACTTGACTATTAATTGCAATTTCTTAGCTATAGGGGAAGGAGGAGGAGGGGACACTTAAATTGTTTCTTTAAAGTTAGCTCTAAAAAATCCTCCTTGGGTCTAAATCATGAGTATCATTATCACCATGGCTAACATTCATTAAGCCCTCATTTTGTTTCAGCCACTACCTTAAGTGCCTTAAAAATCTTCATTTCACTTAATCCTCATAAAAACCTTGAGATAAGTACTATCATCATCCCTGTTTAGGGCAGGCTTTCAGCAGTTCAGTAACTTGACCAGAGTCACACAAACATTCTGGATGCAAAATCCAAATGCATATTAAATAGCTGAATGCAGCTTTTTTTTTTTTTACATGTCCTACACACATTCGGGGAAAATATCTGCTAAAGTAGTTATTTCCTCTCAAAGTGTTAGAGTTTGAAGAATTGAAATGTCAATTTTGCACCTATGAAATAAAAGTGACATTAGATGTTCACTTAGGACTTTTTTTGAATTCAGCATTCTCAGGTTCTAAAATAGGTCATGCAGGTAGGTTTCCAGTTAAAGAATGGCAGGAAACACAGCAGTCTGTATAATTTTACCACTTCAGCATCCTGATACTAACAATGCATGGCTGGCTCCTGAACAGTTGGAACTCCATTTTCTAAAGCCCCTGTCCAGGGACGCCTGGGTGGCTCAGTTGGTTAAGCATCTGCCTTTGGCTCAGGTTATGATCCCAGGGTCCTGGGATGGAGCCCGGCATCAGGCTCCCTACTCATCGAGGAACCTGCTTCTCCCTCTGCCTGCCGCTCCCCCTGCTTGTGCTCTCTTGCTCTCTCTGACAAATAAATAAATAAAATCTTAAAAAAAAAAAAGTCCCTGTCCATTTAGCAGTCTGCTTACTATTATACCCTTTGGTCATAATCACTGTATTTGAAAAATGTTCAGTGTTCAATATTCTTCATAAAAATCAAATAGCTTTTAAAACATTATGCTGATGATTTAAGGATTAGGGTTTATATCCTAATAAGATTTTTGTCTGTAAGGCTTCCTTTCTTATTCTATGACCTGGATGGCGGCTGGCTACAAAGTCCTAATCTGGGGGTGGGGGGCTAGGAGGCAGAGGTGGGAGTAGACCTCCATTTTTTTGAAAAGGCAGCTCAAGCAGCTTCAGAAATCCCTAGCTGCTGTGGAATTTGAGCTAAACGCATAAGGCAAAGGAGAGAGGACTGTGAGAAGCTGGGATGTTTAGGATTTTGCTGTCACAGTCTAAGCAGGTAACTGCTCTGGTGGAATTTCGGGCACTTCAATAGGTGAGGTTTAGTCCATTTCCTTGTGTAGCATGTGTCCAACATCTACCCTTGTCAGTTTCAGATAACTGATAGGACACACAGCCCCCAGAAAATGGCATGAGCCAGAGGATCTTAGGAATACTGATTTTCCAGTTTTCTCACCCTTTTGCAATTCTCCACCTTTTTTATTCTCAGCATTAAGCTTAAGCTACTGTAGAATCTTGTCTGAATGAGATTTAGTTACGTCTGAGGGGTTTTCATGTCCTATCAAGTTGGTAAAAATGAAATTCTGCCCACACCTTCATATTACATCTTTTCCCTCAGAAAAATACAAGACTCACATTGGTCTGTGAGCAAACTGAGCAGACTTCCCACTGACAACTTAGAAGTAAGAGGGCAGTTATTCCTAAAAGAGGGGGTGGGGAATGGTAAAATGAAATACAACAGGACAGAATTTCCAAGGGAACTCATACTGTTCTGTTTGCAAGGTGTCACTAAATGGTAATTGAAAGGGGCTGCAAGCCCTGCACAGTCACTCAGCTGTCCTTTCCTACCTGATTTTATTCCTGCAGATACACACTCCTGTCACATTTCCAAGAGATACACCGAGACACAAAAACCATGCTTTCCAAAGCAGACAGGGTGGGAGGGTTAAGAGAAGGGAGGGGAGGGGGGGTGGTTGGGCACCTGATGGGGAGAGAACTGAGGAAGGGATAAAGTTAGGAAAGTGGGTGGATACAAAAAAAGTAGAAAAAGATGACACTGAACATGATGAGCAAAAAGACACATGGTTCAGTCCTGTAAAATAGGTTCTGAATCATTTCGAACATCCCATGATACTGAGGACGCGTTATAACCTCCCAGGAGCGACATAAATGCATTTCCGTCACATACTGAAAACCTAAAAGCAAGCATCAAATGAAAGGGCAAAGTAATGAGGGATCAAAAGAGTGGTGCTTCCACGTTTATCAGTGCAGCTTTCGAGACCAAGAAGTGCCTAAAGACTGCAGGAGGGAGGCCCAGAGGCTCTGGGTTTCTTCCTTAGTTGCACCTGTTTCGGAAGGGCCGGGGTTAAGAAAAGAGGAAAACAACAGGTTTCTCCCACAGGCAGAAACTCGAGCCTGTGCCAAGAGCTACCAGAGCGCGGCCCAGGCCTCCACTGGCCTGCCCGTGACCAGTTCTGCAAGGCCAGGCAACAATGGCTTCCTGTCTCCCTGGGCCCAGGGTGAGACCCAACTTTTTCCCAAGGCTCACCTGCTGGGAGCCCGGTGAAGAGCAGCAGCCAAGGCGCAGGCAGCTCAGGGCCCATGCCGGCCGCTCTCTGGCCCCTGCCAGCTCAGGGGCTCGGGGGGCACTGCGTCTCTCTTCAGCAGCGGCCGTCCCAGGACGCGCCACTTCCCCGAGGAATCCCTCCGCTTTCCCCTCTCTCGGCGCCGGGCGAGCGGAGGGCCGGCCGCGGTCCCCGAGCAGGTACTGCCCCGCCTCACCCCCACCTGAGCGCGCCGGCGGCCCCGCCTCCCCGCCCGCGCGCCGCCCTTTCTGCTCCGCCCCCCATCGCGGAGGACCGTGGCCACCTTGCCTAGAGGCCAGAGCCTCCTCCCCAGGCTGCCAGGTAATTCGTCTCGCTGGAACCGCGTGTCTTGCCACATCCCTCCCGCCCCTAGAGAACGTTACCATTTTTTTCCCCCAGAAGTTCTCGGGAAATCTTATCCCTAGCACACTTCTTCCCCTCTTTGTAGAATTACGTGGATATAACTTTCTGGGGTGTATTTCCTACGTTATCTTTCCATCCCCTCATATATGCTTGGAAAACTTTTTTTCCCTCACTAAAAACACACCAACATGAAGTTTGCACATAACGTCTGCTCAGGTTTTCTAGAAACTAAAGATGTACAGCATAAACTAGAGAAATAGATTTACTTTTCCACAACTATTAAAGTCATAGATGCTTATTATAGAAAAGTTAGAAAAATATAAATTATTGGAGATAAACAAATCCT